ACCCATAACACCAGAAGGGAGGACAACCCCGCCTCCCTCCTCTGCATAGAAAACCCCTCTACCCCAAACCCTCCCTGCCCCCACTCAAATGTTCAGCCAAATCTCCCTCCCCCCACACCCAATCCCCACCCTTCTACCCCTCCCCTCCTCCCGAGTCCTCCCTCCCCCCCTTTCCTTCCCGTCCTCCCTCCCCTTCCACCCCATATACCCTCCCTGTCCCTCCCCCTTCACTGGATCCCCCGCCCCTCATCCCAGTATCCTCTGAGACCCTGTTATCCACCTCACAGGTCCTCACAACCATGGAACAGCCTCCCCCACCAGCAGAACACTCACCAAGGAGGCGATTTGAGAAGGGACAAGAGGAAAACCCAGACATAATCCCTCACAGAAACAAAGATCACGAAAACGATAACAAATGCAGTGTTCCCACAGGACTATTATGTTATGAGGAAAGAGAGGGAAGGAAGAGGTGGGGGTGGTGTAGCTCTGCTGGTAAGAAAAGGCTGGGATTTTGAGGAGATGGATATTCAGGGCTGTGAAGGTTTCAGTGACTACATAGCAGGTACTGTAACAAATGGAGGGAAAAAATTATAGTCGTAGTCATATATAATCCACCACCAAATGACAGAAGACCTAGACAGGAATATGATAGAAACAACATGGCCACCATTAACATAATAGAAAGAGCAGCTTCTGTTGCTAGCAGGAATGGATCTGGACTACTAATTATGGGAGACTTCAACCATGGGAAGATAGATTGGAAGAACAGAGACCCGCATGGAGGACCAGAAACATGGAGAGCTAAGCTGCTGGACGTGGCAACAAGAAACTTTCTAAGCCAGCACACCAAAGAACCAACAAGAATGAGAGGAGAAGATGAACCAGCAATGCTTGATTTGATATTTACCCTAAATGAATGGGATATAAGGGAAGTTAAGATGGAAGCGCCCTTGGGAATGAGTGACCACAGTGTATTGAACTTTGAGTACCTGGTAGAGCTAGGACTTATCTCCCCCAAAAAAGAACTAGGAATCAAAAGGCTGGCATACCGAAAGGGGAATTATGAACAGATGAGAAGTTTCCTAAGTGAAATACCTTGGGACACAGACCTCAGAGACAAGTCTGTACAGGGTATGATGGACTATGTTACCCAAAAGTGTCAGGAGGCAGTAAACAGGTTCATCCCGGCCCAAAGGGAAAAATCCGAGAAGCAACAGAAGAATCCATGGTATAATAGGGCATGTATGGAAGCGAAGAAACTGAACAAAAAGGCGTGGAGGAACTTCCGGAATAACAGAACACCAGAAAGCAGAGAGAGATACCAGAGAACCAGGAATGAGTACGTCAGGGTGAGAAGAGAAGCAGAGAAAAATTTTGAAAATGATATAGCAAACAAAGCCAAGACTGAACCAAAGCTACTCCACAGTCACATCAGAAGGAAAACAACAGTGAAAGAACAGGTACTGAAACTTAGAACAGGCGAGGACAGGTATACAGAGAATGACAGAGAGGTGTGTGAGGAACTCAACAAGAGGTTCCAGGAGGTCTTCACAATAGAACAGGGTGAGGTCACTGTGCTAGGAGAAAGGGAGGTAAACCAGGCGGCCTTGGAGGAGTTCGAAATTACGAGAGAGGAGGTCAAGAGACACCTGCTGGATCTGGATGTTAGAAAGGCTGTTGGTCCAGATGGGATCTCACCATGGGTACTGAAAGAGTGTGCAGAGGCACTTTGCTTGCCACTCTCCATAGTGTATAGTAAGTCACTAGAGACGGGAGACCTACCAGAAATATGGAAGACGGCGAATGTGGTCCCAATATACAAAAAGGGCGACAGACAAGAGGCACTGAACTACAGGCCAGTGTCCTTGACTTGTATACCATGCAAGGTGATGGAGAAGATCGTGAGAAAAAACCTGGTAACACATCTGGAGAGAAGGGACTTCGTGACAAATCGCCAACATGGATTCAGGGAGGGTAAATCTTGCCTTACAGGCTTGATAGAATTCTACGATCAGGTGACACAGATTAAGCAAGAAAGAGAGGGCTGGGCGGACTGCATTTTCTTGGATTGTCGGAAAGCCTTTGACACAGTACCGCATAAGAGGCTGGTACATAAGCTGGAGAGACAGGCAGGTGTAGCTGGTAAGGTGCTCCAGTGGATAAGGGAGTATCTAAGCAATAGGAAGCAGAGAGTTACGGTGAGGGGTGAGACCTCCGATTGGCGTGAAGTCACCAGTGGAGTCCCACAGGGCTCTGTACTCGGTCCTATCTTGTTTCTGATATATGTAAATGATCTCCCGGAGGGTATCGATTCATTTCTCTCAATGTTTGCGGACGATGCTAAAATTATGAGAAGGATTAAAACAGAAGAGGACTGTTTGAGGCTTCAAGAAGACCTAGACAAGCTGAAGGAATGGTCGAACAAATGGTTGTTAGAGTTTAACCCAACCAAATGTAATGTAATGAAGATAGGTGTAGGGAGCAGGAGGCCAGATACAAGGTATCATCTGGGAGAGGAAATTCTTCAGGAGTCAGAGAAGGAAAAAGACTTGGGGGTTGATATCACGCCAGACCTGTCTCCTGCAGCACATATCAAGCGGATAACATCAGCGGCATATGCCAGGCTGGCCAACATACGAACGGCATTCAGAAACTTGTGTAAAGAATCATTCAGAACTTTGTATACCACATATGTCAGGCCAATCCTGGAGTATGCAGCCCCAGCATGGAGTCCATATCTAGTCAAGGATAAGACTAAACTGGAAAAGGTTCAAAGGTTTGCCACCAGACTAGTACCCGAGCTGAGAGGTATGAGCTACGAGGAGAGACTACGGGAATTAAACCTCACTTCGCTGGAAGACAGAAGAGTTAGGGGGGACATGATCACCACATTCAAGATTCTGAAGGGGATTGATAGGGTAGATAAAGACAGTCTATTTAACACAAGGGGAACACGCACAAGGGGACACAGGTGGAAACTGAGTGCCCAAATGAGCCACAGAGATATTAGAAAGAACTTTTTTAGTGTCAGAGTGGTTGACAAATGGAATGCATTAGGGGGTGATGTGGTGGAGGCTGACTCCATACACAGTTTCAAGTGTAGATATGACAGAGCCCGATAGGCTCAGGAATCTGTACACCTGTTGATTGACGGTTGAGAGGCGGGACCAAAGAGCCAGAGCTCAACCCCCGCAAACACAACTAGGTACAACTAGGTGAGTACAACTAGGTGAGTACTCCACACCGGAGGCACACACACACCATACTCCACACGGAGGCACCACACACCTGACTCCACCAACGGAGGCACCACACACCTGACTCCACACGGAGGCACCACACACCAGACTCCAAACGGAGGCACCACACACCAGACTCCACAACGGAGGCACCACACACCAGACTCCACAACGGAGGCACCACACACCTGACTCCACAACGGAGGCATTTTGAACGTACCTAGAGAGGCAACACAGTTGCATTTTTAACGGAGTAACATATCTTCAGAACACCTGGTAGTTCTCACCAGCGTCAAATTTTAAGTGGTTTTACCTCAGCCATGTTGATGGTTAGTCCGAGAGCGTCGAATTCACGGTGCTTTTTATCCCAGTAATGCACCGTAATATTAACGGTATGGACTACGTAACAATTCAGTGTATTAGGTGACGGGACAGCATTCCTAACTGCCCGGCTGTTGTTACTGTTTTCCAACAAGCCTACCAGCCATCCTGACTGTTGTAACTGCTCCAACAGCCTTACCAGCCATCCGGACTGTTTGTAACTGTTCCAACATCCTACCATCCCTCCTGACTGTTGTAACTGTTCCAACAGCCTACCAGCCATCCTGACTGTCGTAACTGTTCCAACAGCCTACCAGCCATCCTGACTGTTGTAACTGTTCCAACAGCCTACCAGCAGCCATCCTGAACTGTTGTTACTGTTCCAACAGCCTACCAGCCATCCTGACTGTTCTTACTGTTCCAACAGCCTACCAGCCATCCTGACTGTTGTTACTGTTCCAACAGCCTACCAGCCATCCTGACTGTTGTTACTGTTCCAACAGCCTACCAGCCATCCTGACTGTTGTAACTGTTCCACAGCCTACCAGCCATCCTGACTGTCGTAACTGTTCCAACATGCCTACCAGCCATCCTGACTGTCGTAACTGTTCCAACAGCCTACCAGCCATCCTGACGTTGTAACTGTTCCAACAGCCTACCAGCCCATCCTGACTGTCGTAACTGCTCCAACAGCCTACCAGCCATCCTGACTGTTGTAACTGTTCCAACAGCCTACCAGCCATCCTGACTGTCGTAACTGTTCCAACAGCCTACCAGCCATCCTGACTGTTGTTACTGTTCCAACAGCCTACCAGCCATCCTGACTGTTGTAACTGCTCCAACAGCCTACCAGCCATCCTGACTGTTGTAACTGTTCCAACAGCCTACCAGCCATCCTGACTGTTGTAACTGCTCCAACAGCCTACCAGCCATCCTGACTGTTGTAACTGCTCCAACAGCCTACCAGCCATCCTGACTGTTTTAACTGCTCCAACAGCCTACCAGCCATCCTGACTGTTGTAACTGTTTCAACAGCCTACCAGCCATCCTGACTGTCGTAACTGCTCCAACAGCCTACCAGCCATCCTGACTGTTGTAACTGCTCCAACAGCCTACCAGCCATCCTGACTGTTGTAACTGTTCCAACAGCCTACCAGCCATCCTGACTGTCGTAACTGCTCCAACAGCCTACCAGCCATCCTGACTGTTGTTACTGTTCCAACAGCCTACCAGCCATCCTGACTGTCGTAACTGCTCCAACAGCCTACCAGCCATCCTGACTGTTGTAACTGCTCCAACACCTACCAGCCATCCTGACTGTTGTAAGTACCTCCGGGTGAAGGCTCCAACCACTTACCTGAAAAGAAAATACAAATAATTAGTGTTTGGAAAAAAAGCAACAGCTGTGTTTTCTTACATAACAGTTTTGAGAAAAAATATCTATTTAAACTGATGAATTTGTGTTTGGGCTTGGAAGTAGCTTGGAAGTAGCTTGGAAGTAGCTTGGACGTAGCTTGGACGTAGCTTGGACGTAGCTGGAAGTAGCTTGGACGTAGCTTGGAAGTAGCTTGGACGTAGCTTGGAAGTAGCTTGGACGTAGCTTGGAAATAGCTTGGAAGCAGCTTGGAAGTAGCTTGGACGTAGCTTGGAAGTAGCTTGGACGTAGCTTGGAAGTAGCTTGGAAGTAGCTTGGACGTAGCTTGGAAGTAGCTTGGAAATAGCTTGGACGTAGCTTGGAAGTAGCTTGGACGTAGCTTGGCAGTAGCTTGGAAGTAGCTTGGACGTAGCTTGGAAGTAGCTTGGACGTAGCTTGGAAGTAGCTTGGAAGCAGCTTGGACGTAGCTTGGAAGTAGCTTGGAGTAGCTTGGAATTAGCTTGGAAGTAGCTTGGAAGTAGCTTGGAAGTAGCTTGGACGTAGCTTGGAAGTAGCTTGGAAGTAGCTTGGACGTAGCTTGGAAGTAGCTTGGACGAGCACAGCCTGAAGCTGATCGCCGGACTAACGAGGCAATCAGGGGTGTATAAATAGCCTAAGCTACTCTATCCCTTTGAGATGTATTTCTTTCTTGTCTCAATGAACATACTTGAACTTGCAATCAGATGACAAAAACTAAACAAGCCATCCAACCCTTTTCAAACGTCAGCAATGAAGTAGTTTTTGTCTGACCACAAACGTACGAAACTTGACGAGCCAATCTAACCAACTGGGACCGTCTCTCAGGCCCTGAAAGCGTCAACATTGCGGTGCATGAAGTGAGGGGGAGGGAGGAGGGCAGGGAGCAGGTCTTCAAAGGTTCCCTTGGTTATCACTCCGTAAAAAATACAGTGGTTTAGCCTAATCAGAAACGTCAAAAACCTACGCTGAGTCTAGTCTCAAGGTCCTCTATACTACTTTTCTTCAAGTAAAATACCAGAAATTACAAAGTAAAAGCTTGCGTGCCACAGCTTGAAGAAGAAAGTAAAGAGCTAACTGAAAGTTGTAAAAGTTTTAAAGAAATTTTTCCCATTTTTTTATTTTGTCTAAAGAAGGCTGTGAAGGACCGCCGATACGTCTTCAAGGAATTGCCAGGCTTCAACCTGTCCTCTCACCTGATATATTGCACTTCTTACGGAATCTACCAATCCGTTAAAATGTGACGTATTAGTAAGATTAAAGCACTGTAATATTGACGTTTTCGGTGCATTGGGGTCGGTAATTAGGTGGCCAATAGGAGCCTTCCGAGGCGGCTCCTATTACCCCATTCTTAGCAGCTCCTATTTATACTCACGAAATTTAGACATATACATGTCTAACCTACGCTTGAAACAATCCAGCGACCCCACGTCTATCATGTTACCCGGTAATCTCTTCCATAAGTCAACAACCATATATTCAAACCAGTATTTACCAGGTCTTACCTAAATCTAATTTATACGATTTTGATAAAGATAGTGTTTGCAAACGAGAACACAAAAGAGAAGATCCTATCAAGGAAGAGCTCCCTGAAAAACGTGGGAAAATTAAAAAATGTATTCCTCCAGAGAGACATGACAAGGGAGGAGAGAGCCGTGGCGGCAGAAGCAAGGAAGAGGCGCAGGGCGAGAGGGAAAAACCAGGAAGTTACAGCTCCCAGCACAACACCCCCAGAGGCGAGGGGGGAACCCACAACCAGCTACCCAGTAACACCAGAAGGGAGGACAACCCCGCCTCCCTCCTCTGCATAGAAAACCCCTCTACCCCAAACCCTCCCTGCCCCCACTCAAATGTTCAGCCAAATCTCCCTCCCCCCACACCCAATCCCCACCCTTCTACCCCTCCCCTCCTCCCGAGTCCTCCCTCCCCCCTTTCCTTCCCGTCCTCCCTCCCCTTTCACCCCATACCCTCCCTGTCCCTCCCCCTTCACTGGATCCCCCGCCCCTCATCCCAGTATCCTCTGAGACCCTGTTATCCACCTCACAGGTCCTCACAACCATGGAACAGCCTCCCCCACCAGCAGAACACTCACCAAGGAGGCGATTTGAGAAGGGACAGAAGAAAGTGAGCCTCAAAGCGATGTACACTAACATAGATGGAATTACAAATAAAGCAAATGAGCTTGGAGAACTGGTACTAGAGGAAAACCCAGACATAATAGCCCTCACAGAAACAAAGATCACGAAAACGATAACAAATGCAGTGTTCCCACAGGACTATTATGTTATGAGGAAAGAGAGGGAAGGAAGAGGTGGGGGTGGTGTAGCTCTGCTGGTAAGAAAAGGCTGGGATTTTGAGGAGATGGATATTCAGGGCTGTGAAGGTTTCAGTGACTACATAGCAGGTACTGTAACAAATGGAGGGAAAAAAATTATAGTCGCAGTCATATATAATCCACCACCAAATGACAGAAGACCTAGACAGGAATATGATAGAAACAACATGGCCACCATTAACATAATAGAAAGAGCAGCTTCTGTTGCTAGCAGGAATGGATATGGATTACTAATTATGGGAGACTTCAACCATGGGAAGATAGATTGGAAGAACAGAGACCCGCATGGAGGACCAGAAACATGGAGAGCTAAGCTGCTGGACGTGGCAACAAGAAACTTTCTAAGCCAGCACACCAAAGAACCAACAAGAATGAGAGGAGAAGATGAACCAGCAATGCTTGATTTGATATTTACCCTAAATGAATGGGATATAAGGGAAGTTAAGATGGAAGCGCCCTTGGGAATGAGTGACCACAGTGTATTGAACTTTGAGTACTTGGTAGAGCTAGGACTTATCTCCCCCAAAAAAGAACTAGGAATCAAAAGGCTGGCATACCGAAAGGGGAATTATGAACAGATGAGAAGTTTCCTAAGTGAAATACCTTGGGACACAAACCTCAGAGACAAGTCTGTACAGGGTATGATGGACTATGTTACCCAAAAGTGTCAGGAGGCAGTAAACAGGTTCATCCCGGCCCAAAGGGAAAAATCCGAGAAGCAACAGAAGAATCCATGGTATAATAGGGCATGTATCGAAGCGAAGAAACTGAACAAAAAGGCGTGGAGGAACTTCCGGAATAACAGAACACCAGAAAGCAGAGAGAGATACCAGAGAACCAGGAATGAGTACGTCAGGGTGAGAAGAGAAGCAGAGAAAAATTTTGAAAATGATATAGCAAACAAAGCCAAGACTGAACCAAAGCTACTCCACAGTCACATCAGAAGGAAAACAACAGTGAAAGAACAGGTACTGAAACTTAGAACAGGCGAGGACAGGTATACAGAGAATGACAGAGAGGTGTGTGAGGAACTCAACAAGAGGTTCCAGGAGGTCTTCACAATAGAACAGGGTGAGGTCACTGTGCTAGGAGAAAGGGAGGTAAACCAGGCGGCCTTGGAGGAGTTCGAAATTACGAGAGAGGAGGTCAAGAGACACCTGCTGGATCTGGATGTTAGAAAGGCTGTTGGTCCAGATGGGATCTCACCATGGGTACTGAAAGAGTGTGCAGAGGCACTTTGCTTGCCACTCTCCATAGTGTATAGTAAGTCACTAGAGACGGGAGACCTACCAGAAATATGGAAGACGGCGAATGTGGTCCCAATATACAAAAAGGGCGACAGACAAGAGGCACTGAACTACAGGCCAGTGTCCTTGACTTGTATACCATGCAAGGTGATGGAGAAGATCGTGAGAAAAAACCTGGTAACACATCTGGAGAGAAGGGACTTCGTGACAAATCGCCAACATGGATTCAGGGAGGGTAAATCTTGCCTTACAGGCTTGATAGAATTCTACGATCAGGTGACACAGATTAAGCAAGAAAGAGAGGGCTGGGCGGACTGCATTTTCTTGGATTGTCGGAAAGCCTTTGACACAGTACCGCATAAGAGGCTGGTACATAAGCTGGAGAGACAGGCAGGTGTAGCTGGTAAGGTGCTCCAGTGGATAAGGGAGTATCTAAGCAATAGGAAGCAGAGAGTTACGGTGAGGGGTGAGACCTCCGATTGGCGTGAAGTCACCAGTGGAGTCCCACAGGGCTCTGTACTCGGTCCTATCTTGTTTCTGATATATGTAAATGATCTCCCGGAGGGTATCGATTCATTTCTCTCAATGTTTGCGGACGATGCTAAAATTATGAGAAGGATTAAAACAGAAGAGGACTGTTTGAGGCTTCAAGAAGACCTAGACAAGCTGAAGGAATGGTCGAACAAATGGTTGTTAGAGTTTAACCCAACCAAATGTAATGTAATGAAGATAGGTGTAGGGAGCAGGAGGCCAGATACAAGGTATCATCTGGGAGAGGAAATTCTTCAGGAGTCAGAGAAGGAAAAAGACTTGGGGGTTGATATCACGCCAGACCTGTCTCCTGCAGCACATATCAAGCGGATAACATCAGCGGCATATGCCAGGCTGGCCAACATACGAACGGCATTCAGAAACTTGTGTAAAGAATCATTCAGAACTTTGTATACCACATATGTCAGGCCAATCCTGGAGTATGCAGCCCCAGCATGGAGTCCATATCTAGTCAAGGATAAGACTAAACTGGAAAAGGTTCAAAGGTTTGCCATCAGACTAGTACCCGAGCTGAGAGGTATGAGCTACGAGGAGAGACTACGGGAATTAAACCTCACTTCGCTGGAAGACAGAAGAGTTAGGGGGGACATGATCACCACATTCAAGATTCTGAAGGGGATTGATAGGGTAGATAAAGACAGTCTATTTAACACCAGGGGAACACGCACAAGGGGACACAGGTGGAAACTGAGTGCCCAAATGAGCCACAGAGATATTAGAAAGAACTTTTTTAGTGTCAGAGTGGTTGACAAATGGAATGCATTAGGGGGTGATGTGGTGGAGGCTGACTCCATACACAGTTTCAAGTGTAGATATGACAGAGCCCGATAGGCTCAGGAATCTGTACACCTGTTGATTGACGGTTGAGAGGCGGGACCAAAGAGCCAGAGCTCAACCCCCGCAAACACAACTAGGTGAGTACAACTAGGTGAGTACACCTGACTCCACAACGGAGGCACCACACACCTGACTCCACAACGGAGGCACCACACACCTGACTCCACAACGGAGGCACCACACACCTGACTCCACAACGGAGGCACCACACACCAGACTCCACAACGGAGGCACCACACACCAGACTCCACAACGGAGGCACCACACACCAGACTCCACAACGGAGGCACCACACACCAGACTCCACAACGGAGGCACCACACACCTGACTCCACAACGGAGGCATTTTGAACGTATCTAGAGAGGCAACACAGTTGCATTTTTAACGGAGTAACATATCTTCAGAACACCTGGTAGTTCTCACCAGCGTCAAATTTTAAGTGGTTTTACCTCAGCCATGTTGATGGTTAGTCCGAGAGCGTCGAATTCACGGTGCTTTTAACGGTATCCCAGTAATGCACCGTAACTGCCCGGCTGTTGTTATGTTCCAACGGTATGGACTACGTAACAATTCAGTGTATTAGGTGACGGGACAGCATTCCTAACTGCCCGGCTGTTGTTACTGTTCCAACAGCCTACCAGCCATCCTGACTGTTGTTACTGTTCCAACAGCCTACCAGCCATCCTGACTGTTGTTACTGTTCCAACAGCCTACCAGCCATCCTGACTGTTGTAACTGTTCCAACAGCCTACCAGCCATCCTGACTGTCGTAACTGTTCCAACAGCCTACCAGCCATCCTGACTGTCGTAACTGTTCCAACAGCCTACCAGCCATCCTGACTGTTGTAACTGCTCCAACAGCCTACCAGCCATCCTGACTGTTGTAACTGCTCCAACAGCCTACCAGCCATCCTGACTGTTGTAACTGTTCCAACAGCCTACCAGCCATCCTGACTGTTGTAACTGCTCCAACAGCCTACCAGCCATCCTGACTGTTGTAACTGCTCCAACAGCCTACCAGCCATCCTGACTGTTGTAACTGTCCAACAGCCTCCAACAGCCTACCAGCCATCCTGACTGTCGTAACTGCTCCAACAGCCTACCAGCCATCCTGACTGTTGTTACTGTTCCAACAGCCTACCAGCCATCCTGACTGTTGTAACTGTTCCAACAGCCTACCAGCCATCCTGACTGTCGTAACTGCTCCAACAGCCTACCAGCCATCCTGACTGTTGTTACTGTTCCAACAGCCTACCAGCCATCCTGACTGTCGTAACTGCTCCAACAGCCTACCAGCCATCCTGACTGTTGTAACTGCTCCAACAACCTACCAGCCATCCTGACTGTTGTAAGTACCTCCGGGTGAAGGCTCAACCACTTACCTGAAAAGAAAATACAAATAATTAGTGTTTGGAAAAAAAGCAACAGCTGTGTTTCTTACATAACAGTTTTGAGAAAAATATCTATTTAAACTGATGAATTTGTGTTTGGGCTTGGAAGTAGCTTGGAAGTAGCTTGGAAGTAGCTTGGAAGTAGCTTGGACGTAGCTTGGACGTAGCTTGGAAGTAGCTTGGACGTAGCTTGGAAGTAGCTTGGACGTAGCTTGGAAGTAGCTTGGACGTAGCTTGGAAATAGCTTGGAAGCAGCTTGGAAGTAGCTTGGACGTAGCTTGGAAGTAGCTTGGACGTAGCTTGGAAGTAGCTTGGAAGTAGCTTGGACGTAGCTTGGAAGTAGCTTGGAAATAGCTTGGACGTAGCTTGGAAGTAGCTTGGACGTAGCTTGGCAGTAGCTTGGAAGTAGCTTGGACGTAGCTTGGAAGTAGCTTGGACGTAGCTTGGAAGTAGCTTGGAAGCAGCTTGGACGTAGCTTGGAAGTAGCTTGGAAGTAGCTTGGAAGTAGCTTGGAAGTAGCTTGGACGTAGCTTGGACGTAGCTTGGAAGTAGCTTGGAAGTAGCTTGGAAGTAGCTTGGACGTAGCTTGGACGAGCACAGCCTGAAGCTGATCGCCGGACTAACGAGGCAATCAGGGGTGTAGAAATAGCCTAAGCTACTCTATCCCTTTGAGATGTATTTCTTTCTTGTCTCAATGAACATACTTGAACTTGCAATCAGATGACAAAACTAAACAAGCCATCCAACCCTTTTCAAACGTCAGCAATGAAGTAGTTTTTGTCTGACCACAAACGTACGAAACTTGACGAGCCAATCTAACCAACTGGGACCGTCTCTCAGGCCCTGAAAGCGTCAACATTGCGGTGCATGAAGTGAGGGGGAGGGAGGAGGGCAGGGAGCAGGTCTTCAAAGGTTCCCTTGGTTATCACTCCGTAAAAAATACAGTGGTTTAGCCTAATCAGAAACGTCAAAAACCTACGCTGAGTCTAGTCTCAAGGTCCTCTATACTACTTTTCTTCAAGTAAAATACCAGAAATTACAAAGTAAAAGCTTGCGTGCCACAGCTTGAAGAAGAAAGTAAAGAGCTAACTGAAAGTTGTAAAAGTTTTAAAGAAATTTTTCCCATTTTTTTATTTTGTCTAAAGAAGGCTGTGAAGGACCGCCGATACGTCTTCAAGGAATTGCCAGGCTTCAACCTGTCCTCTCACCTGATATATTGCACTTCTTACGGAATCTACCAATCCGTTAAAAATGTGACGTATTAGTAAGATTAAAGCACTGTAATATTGACGTTTTCGGTGCATTGGGGTCGGTAAATTAGGTGGCCAATAGGAGCCTTCCGAGGCGGCTCCTATTACCCCATTCTTAGCAGCTCCTATTTATACTCACGAAAATTTAGACATATACATGTCTAACCTACGCTTGAAACAATCCAGCGACCCCACGTCTATCATGTTACCCGGTAATCTCTTCCATAAGTCAACAACCATATATTCAAACCAGTATTTACCCAGGTCTTACCTAAATCTAATTTATACGATTTTGTTTTGTGTTCTATTTTGTGTTGATATATTTATACTGTTTATATACTCTTTTGTCATACCCTTTCATACATAATATACCTTAATGTGGCCTGGTCGACGACCGGGCCGCGGGGACGCTAAGCCCCGAAATCATCTCAAGGTAACCTCCCCTAACTTAGTCTGTCTAGAGAATGTAAGTTAAGCTTTTTCAGTCTCTCTTCACCCGGAAAGTTTCTAATTGCTGTGATTAATTTTTGAAAATGTAACCCCAGAAATATTTCGAGCTGTGTGGCAGAGAACTATACGTGTTTTTCAGTACACGAGTCTGCCCAGATGAACAATTTTGATGGGGTTTTGGGCTTGAGGTCTATCCCCGCCAAACACACAACGAAACTACGACGTTGCTACAACGTTCGAACAAGATTTAACACCGAACAAGTTATAACAACCAATATAACAAGTTGTAACAACGTTCTAATACGTCATAAACACGTTAAGCCAAGATGTAACACCTTTATTACAAGTTGTAACAAGCGGAAAATAGGGTCAGTTACGGTTTGTGTTTCCAGGGTCAACACCAAACTTGCTTGTTAGTCAGTAAGCTATTATGGTGGCCTTAATAACCCTCCAGATCTTCGAAGGCCTTAAGTCCAACACCAAACCAATAATTCAAGAACAGTGGAACGTTGCAAGAAGTACTAAGTAAAGGGGTTTTCATTTATAAACAATCGGGCTGGATTAAAATCCACGTGGCCCAGGATTATGAGGACGGGCGGCCCAAAACAGCGGCCAAGTGTTAATAAATGATTGAAAAGATTATTAATTTTTTTAACATTTTGCCCCGAGGGGCGAGTTTATTGGGCAGCGCCACTCATCCTGTGAGTGGACACACCGCCATAGTAGCATGTACAACACTCCCCAATTGGAAGAAAACCCGCTGGGTTGTTCATCCTGTCACTTGTACCCAGACACAGAGAGAGAAAGACTTGGGGGTTGATATCGCGCCAGAATGTCCCCTGAAGCCCATATCAAGAGGATAACATCAGCGGCATATGCCAGGCTGGTCAACATAAGAACGGCCTTTAGAAACTTGTGTAAGGAATCATTCAGAACTTTGTATACCACATATGTCATACCAATCCTGGAGTATGCGGCTCCAGCATGGAGTCCATATCTAGTCAAGCATAAGACTAAACTGGAAAAGGTTCAAAGGTTTGCCACCAGACTAGTACCCGAACTGAGGGGTATGAGCTACGAGGAGAGACTACGGGAATTAAACCTCACGTCACTGGGAGACAGAAGAGTTAGAGGGGACATGATCACCACATTCAGGCGGTGAGTCACAATAACGTGGCTAAAGTATGCTGACCAGACCACACACTAGAAGGTGAAGGGACGACGACGTTTCGGTCCGTCCTGGACCATTCTTAAGTCGATTGTCTGGACCATTCTCACAATCGACTTGAGAATGGTCCAGGACGGACCGAAACGCCGTCGTTCCTTCACCTTCTAGTGTGTGGTCTGGTCAACATGATCACCACATACAAGATTCTCAGAAGAATTGACAGGGAAGATAAAGACAGGCTATTTAACACAAGGAGCATACGCACTTGGGGACACAGGTGGAAATTGAGTGCCCAAATGAGCCATAGAGACGTTAGAAAGAATTTTTTCAGTGTCAGAGTAGTAGACAAATGGAATGCATTAGGAAGTGATGTGGTGGAGGCTGACTCCATACACAGCTTCAAGTGTAGATATGATAGAGCCCAGTAGGCTCAGGAACCTGTACATTATTTGATTGACAGTTGAGAGGCGGGACCAAAGAGCCAGAGCCCAGCCCCCGCAAGCACAACTAGGTAAGTACAGCTGGGACTTGCTTAACTGTCTCAAGTGAACAGCTCCTCAAACAAGATTAACATTTGTCAACCCTTAATAGCTTACTTTATCTTGCGGGTGCTAAATGGGGGAATGTTTTAAGAACAGTATCAATATTTGACAAATAGTGTTTTCCTAACTCAAACAATGTGGGGTTTATTATTCTACACATATTTCTAATGTCTCTCAGGTGTTCACATTCACGTAGATAGTGGTCAAGGCGGTGTCCGTCACTCTCACCACACATTCTGCAGATTGAGAAACACCTTATACATGGCCCACTACTGATTGTGTTGTGATATACATAAATTAAATGATTATGTTGTGATATACTTGTTCGGCAGGAACAAGATATACTTAAACTGAAGATACACATCAATACGTGAAGAATGAACTTTAGCGCGCGCGCACACACGCACACACATTGTTTGCTCGTTCCTCTCATTACTAATGATGCAAAAATTATGAGGAAGATTAAGACGGAGGAAGATAGCATGAGGCTACAAGATGACCTCGAGAAATTTAATGAATGGTCCAACAAATGGCTACTAAAGTTCAACCCGAGAAAATGTAAGGTAATGAAACTAGGCTGTGGAAACAGGAGGCCAGACACATGATACAGAATGGGAGATGAAGTACTTCATGAAACGGACAGAGAGAAAGATCTAGGAGTTGATATCACACCAAACCTGTCTCCTGAAGCCCACATAAAAAGAATAACATCGGCGGCATATGCGAGGCTGGCTAACATCAAAATGCCATCAGAAACCTGTGTAAGGAATCATTCAGAATTTTGTACACCACATATGTAAGACCAATCCTGAAGTATGCGGCCCCAGCATGGAACCCGTACCTTGTCAAGCACAAGACGAAGCTTCAAAAAGTTCAAAGGTATGCCACTAGACTAGTCCCAGAACTAAGAGGCATGAGTTACGAGGAAAGGCTGCGGGAAATGCACCTCACGACACTAGAAGACAGAAGAGTAAGGGTAGACATGATCGATACCTACAAAATTCTCAGGAATTGACAAGGTAAATAGGGATAAACTGTTTAACACTGGTGGTACGCGAACAAGGGGACACAGGTGGAGACTGAGTACCCACATGAGCCACAGGGACGTTAGAAAGAACTTTTCAGTGTCAGAGTAGTTAACAGGTGGAATGCATTAGGCAGTGATGTGGTGGAGGCTGACTCCATACACAGTTTCAAATGTAGATATGATAGAGCCCAGTAGGCTCAGAAACCTGTACATCCGTTGATTGACAGTTGAGAGGCGGGACCAAAGGACAGAAGTCAACCCCCGCAAGCACAAACAGGGGACCACACACAACAAGCAAAACACCACCACCAAACAAAGGGCAGAGCGCGGGAGGAAACATCAGCAGCCAGGGAGCAGCAATCAACGAGGAACACCAACAACAGGTAAATCAGTATGCAGAACAAGGAAGAAACAGCAGAACCGGCGAGCTCCGACCAGCAGTCAAACAGCAGGCGGCAGCAGTAAAAGCAGCAGTAAGTGAGGTGGTAAAGGAGGCACGGGACGAGGCAGTCGTGTGGTTGGTTCATTTGAAAGGGGGGGGGAGGTTTTATGGGGGGTTTATGGGGTTGGGGGAGGGGGAGGGGGGGGTGCTTCAGGGGTAACTCAAATGTGGGAGTTACATGGTCTTAGTAATATTGTTGCCACTTCAGTCTATTGCACAATTCCTATCAGGACAACTGCCACCACCACCACAGCAAGCACTTCTCCTGCCTGTATGAACTCCGCCTCCACCACACCACCACACTGATAGGTAGGTACAGACAAGGGAGCACCACCACACTGATAGGTAGGTACAGACAAGGGAGCACCACCACACTGATAGGTAGGTACAGACAAGGGAGCACCACCACACTGATAGGTAGGTACAGACAAGGGAGCACCACCACACTGATAGGTAGGTACAGACAAGGGAGCACCACCACACTACCACACTAAAAGGTAGGCACTAACATGTGAGCACCACCACACCACCACACACACACAGCGAGCGTTTACAATATTCCGGATTATATAATACGCACCTCTCGCTAATTCCGCCTCCTGTAATTACGGACATTATCCACGGCCGCACAGAGGATGATATTTCCCCTAACTTTAACCAACCATATCCCCTCTCAACCATCACATTTACACTACAACACGCCCAACAAAAACCCAGCTACCATCACACCCAAACACAAA